TTTTTCTGAACGTTTAGCATAGCCCAAACATTTGCGTCCCCTTTTAACTCTGTTGTTTGCGGGTGCAGGTGGATACACATGTTGCGGGAATGGGCGGCTGAGCGGTAATGGTCACAAAATCAATGGGAGCGGGCGGGAGAGGGATCAAGAAAACAGTCCTGCGCAGGTCTCTTAATTCACGTCCCAGACCGGAAGCTTCCCGCTTGGTTCCAAAGGGTTCAGTATTAAAGACATAAATACGACATTATGAAATAAATAATCATATACTTAATACATTGTGTAAAATACAAATCTGATTTCAAAGTGTCACTTTCCTTAATTACATTGTATTTCATAATGACACTTTTAATTTAATTAAGTCATTATGATAGTGGAGTTAAGTCAAGTAAATTTGTATAGCCCAATATCACAACTACTACTACCTTTACTGCCAGCCAGCTAGCTAGGTCATGTTGGCTAAAATGGCCGCAGAAAAAGACTGTCAGTCTTATTGCTCATCACAGAGTTGTGTGTCTTTGTCTGAGAGACATTTTTGGAATCAAAACGATGCTGCTGTTAAAACTAGCTCTTCACTTTCATGCTGAGTAATAAGCTCACAGGCCAGCCTAGCTAATATGATGACTAGCTGCATAGCATATGCAGTCATGTAAAGCTAAATGAAAGGACATTTCAGTTTCTGTGTCTGTGTACAGTGGTCATTTACAGCAGAAGCTAGTTGGTTGATTCAGAAGCACATTAGCTAACAGGAACAAACTGGCAAAATTGTGATTACAGTTATTGAGCTTTATTGAGGGGCATGTGGCTGACTGACAGATGAGGGGGTGGTGTCTTGGAAAGTAACATTATGTGTCATTACGAAATAAAAATGTCTATACTCTATACTCCAATAACTATGTTATTGTGAAAATAAGAATAATAAAATACCATTTCAAAATAATGATTTTACCTTCATTCCCAACTTATTTTACACTGTATTGGTTTATTCAAATATTTTACACAATTTAATCAAATCTCTTTTTTTATAATGACTAATTATTTAATATTGAACACTGACTCCATACTGCAACACTTATATATAGCAGTAAAATGATGATTGATTTCCTTTTGACAATGGCTTCTCCCTATGCTCACCCTCTGTGTTATTGCTGGATTAAAGTTTAAGCATTAAATACACTTAAGCAGTAAGTACTTTACACTTGCTGCTCAGGGGAGGTTCTTTAAAAGTCAACCAACACAAAATAGTTATATTTGACATCTTAGAGGAGAGGCATGCTATCCACCCTGAGCTGTTAGTCCCCACTGATCCAGCATGTTTCTACAAAAGCAGAAAAGTAATGTAAAAATCAAATGTTAATATTTGAGGTTTGTTTTATTCTGCTACTAAAAAAAAACTGAAACAGCTGGGTACTCAGTAATGGGAATGAACTATTCATTATAATGCTGACCTGCACACTCACTAGACCTACTTTTACATCCAACTTTAATGGGCATCTCTTTGGTCCAGTGTTAATGCTAATACAGAATTGGTGTTTCTTTCTACACACCGCATGCTCGCATTATATATGTGCCATATTTGTTATCAATCGACAAGTTACCGGCCCTTTAGTTTTAGTTTACAATGGTATGAGCCAAGAAATGTGGAGAAATGTGTTAGTATTTTAATTGACTCTAGCTTGTATTTAGCTTCTTGCCACCTCTGTAATTTGCAGAGGATTTGCAAACCAATTAAAATGTTTGCAGAAACAAACATTTTAATTTACTAATTTTTAATTTCATTTTCATTTCTTACTGTTTTATCTGTGTAGTTGTACTTCACATGGATTAAAGAAGGGAGTTGCGTTTGCACTTTTTACTGTGTCTCTGACCATGGCTGGAGGTTTGTCTGATGGGATGTTCAGTGAATTTGTGCTTTTTCATAGGATTGCACCTGGCATCAAGAAGCATCTTTTTAGAGCTTAAGAGTTTCTATTTTTCTCCTTTTGGGCTGAGCTGAAAAGGACTTAACTTCAACTTCTTGAGTAACAAATTAAAGTAGGTTGTTTGAATTCACAACTGGCTAGCCTGTGGGGCTGTTCTGTTTCAAACTATAATTCATGGACTCATAGCCTTGGAACATGATAACTGCCTTTCAATCAATCTGCTCTGCATTTCCATTCATTTGGTGAGCTTTCAAGCTGCTAAATTACTCACTCCTTGTCTCTGCTGGAAACATTTTAATCATCAAAAACATCACCTTGAGCATAATTATGTCTCTGTTACACCAAAAGCGGAGGGGACAGAGTGGGGGATTGTCCAAGCCCTGCCCACGTGTGATATCCCTAATAACAAGGATATAATAAAAGGCTATGAGCTATACTCCAACATCAAAAGCTATTGTTTAATTTTGGCCAGCGGGACGTGACAAATCCGTAATTAAAATAGCAAGCTGAGTGATAAAACAAAGCCACTTGCTGGGAGACAGCGGATCCGGTTAGATATGGATCTGTCATTAGGCTAAAGAATTGTCCTTTGCCTTTTCCGCCTTTATCTCCCTAATGCGGCTACATTTCCCCAGGATTGGCCTTTTTCAGCTCGGCGTGGAGGAAAAAAAAGCTGATCTCAATGAACGTCCTAATCAGTCATGGTTTGCTTGTTTACCGCAACGAAAGTCAAGGCCACTGGTTCATCCAGAAGATGAACCAATTGCATGATGGCACTTTGTGTTTTAAATTGGCATCAGAATGACAACTGTGCTAGCGCTTTTCTCATAATGCCCCCAATCTCTCGAGCTTATTTACCACTGCATGTGTACAGGTTCAACAAGAGGGCAACTACAATTGGATCTTTATGTTATTTGTTCATGTTTTTTTTTTTTCCTGCAGTGAGAGAATGACAACAGCACTATGGTATTCAGGTGGCACAGCCTGACAACCAAGATACGGTATGCTCAGTCTTTCCTCTAGGACTATTAAACTAATATAACAATATATACAGTATATAATTTTTTTCCGGAATTGACTTAAAGATTAAACAGTCTTGAATAATGCATCTGGTAAAGCACACTGGAATCACTGGGGTGAGATCTGCAGCAGGCGATTTCTCATCACATGCAGCTGTTTTAGCAGAAGACAGCATGGCAGAGAGCAGCAACAGACTGTTCCTCCTCTCCACCACTTTACTCTTATTGCTGGAGCTGATGTCAAAATGCACAGAGCCCGACAGAACAATAAAAATTACCCAGAAGACTGGTGGTGGAAGCGGACTGACCACAACATTAGTGAAATCCTGATGAACACAGGTAAGGATAAGAGTGTGTGAGTGCGTGTTTTTAATTTATGTGTGCTAGTGTGACTAATGCTGGACTGAACTAGGGAGGTGTGTGCGTGTGTGTGCACACGTGTAAGACACCCTGGTAGCAAGCTATTCTCCTTGATAAGAAGGTTTCAAGTAAATTAATGAATACATTATGTATTGTTGGCCGAGTATCAAAAAAGCAGCCATACTGTATCTGACCGGAGTGAAGCTCTTTTGTTGACACATGAAGCTGCAGGACAATCTTCACCTGAGCAAGACCAGCAGCACAATGGGAAACTAAGGGGCCCCGGGGGAACCCAAGGGACCCCTGACTGAAGAGACTTAGAAGAGGTGGAGAGAAGCAAGGTAACATATCGCAAATTCATTCTACCTACAATGTTAAACCTACACCCACACAGATTTGTTTTCACTGTCAAACACCCACACACATACTGTGGATGTACACATGGATACACATAGACATTTCCTTTCCTTGTGTGTGTGTGTGTCCTAAGGGTAAAGAATACATTCATATTCAGTGAATGATCGGCAGAGGCAGAACCTGTTCGGAGCCATTTTGTTTTTCCAGCCGGTGGCAGAAAGCAGTGGCCATTACGACCTTGTGATGAATTCAGGGTTCATTTCCTACAGTTTCCTTTTTTATGCACGCACACAGAATTAAATCTAAAAAGAGACAAGAGATGCAGCATTCTGAGAGGGAGAACATTCTGTAAAGCCTGCACATCCCTGGTCTAACTATCAATTCCAGGTGCATGGTAATCGGGAGAAAGTTTCATTTTTGCCCACTGTCATTTATTCATTAGCTCGTAATCAGATCTCCTGTGCAAGGCATGAGACGTTATAAATCAGTCACCGGCTGGACATTAACAATTCATGCAATTCATAATACATGAGAGCCGTCATTTATTTATTTATCACCTCTAAATGGGATTTCCTTCCTTCTCATTGGCTCCAACTCAGAAGTCAACTTCTGTTACCCTGACCCACGACCATTTTGAGAGCAAGCCAAGATGCAAACAATGCAAATGTAAGCTGAAAGGGACCAGGGTTGCCTGATCTCATGCGCTGTCATTCAGACAGACTGACTAAATCCGGTTGGTTTGACCGGTATCTTCTGGAAGGGAAGCAGCAGGCGCCAGGTTGCGGCTGGCTGCTGGCACAGTTGTTTTCTGCTGATTCTCTTGAGCAGTTGATGTAATTGTGAGTAATTAGGCCTTAAAGTGGTCTTGTCTTTCCCCAACCTGGAACATGAGTCCCAAGGGAGAGTGAGTGAGGTGGCTGTCTGAACACCAGTAGCTTGTGTACAGAAGGCTGCTTTTGTCTGAACAGATCGTATATGAAAAGCATGGAACTGTGCCACCAGATGCCAACACCATATGATCACACTTTACATGACAATAAATTATACTATTGCCCTGAGGGTCCCAGTGCTTCTTATTGTAAAGATAAACAGCAAAGTGTAATGGAAATGCCTCCCTGACCAGAGATCCTGCACTTTTCTTTACAGTATGTAACATTCTGTGGGAGTTTGTCTGCCTTACAGTTTTAGTATACTTAGCCTCATGGTTGAACATCAATTGTTCAAAGGTTCTTTGTGTATCCATAAATGACAAAATAATGTCTAATATTGGTCACCCGTAGCAATGAGGGACACGAGACACCAAGACAAAGGAGTGCTAACAAATAGAAACTTTGCAGGGACTTACGGGTGGCTGGCTTATTGCAGTTGTGTCCATGTCTAAAGTACTGAGGGTTCTCCACCACAGGAATACGAGTCATCCCTATGACAACCGCATCAGGACCCGCATCCAGAGTACAGGGGGTAATAATCCCATGGTTGACATGATGAAGAGGACTGGCAGAGTCTTCCTCACCACTGATCACAGCTACTGGACCTGGAACGAGACAAAGAAATAGTGAGTTATTTAACAGTTCAAAGTCAAAAGGTGGAGCTCAGGTTAAGCCTTTCTGACTTTATATATATATATATATATATATATATATACACACACAGTATTGACAAAAGCTTTGGGTCGCCATCCTTTAATATGGAGTTGGCCCACCAGTTGCAGCTATAAAAGCTTCAACTCTTCTGGGAAGGCTGTCCACAAGGTTTAGGAGTGTGTTCAAGGGAATTTTTGACCATTCTTCTAGAAGCACATTTGTAAGGTCAGGCACAGATGTTGGACGAGAAGGCCTGACTCACCTGCTCCGCTCTAATTCATCCCAAAATTCAGCTTGGGGTCAAGACTCTGTACAGGCCAGTAAAGTTCTCCACAGGTTGGGACAAGAAGGGGCCATCCCCAAACTGTTTCCACAAATGTTGGGAGCCTAAAATTGTCCAAAATATCTTGGTATAATGAAGCATTAACAGTTCCTTTCACTCAAACTAAGGGACCAAGCCCAACCCCTGAAAAACAACCCCACATCATAATAAACACCATAACCTTGTCCATCAGATTGCCAGACAGAGAAGCGTGATTCGTCACTCCAGAGACCACATCTCCACTGCTCTAGTGTCCAGTGGCGCCGTGCTTTTCACCATGTATCTGACGCTTTGCATTGCACTTGGTGATGTAAGGCTTGGATGCAGCTGCTTGGCCATGGAAACCCATTCCATGAGGCTCTCTACGCACTGTTGTTGAGCTAATCCGAAGGCCACACGACCTTTGGAGGTCTGTAGCTATTGACTCTGCAGAAAGTTCACGACTTCTGCACACTGTGTGCCTCAGGTTTCGCTGACCCCGCTCTGTGATTTTATGTGGCCTACCACTACAAGGTTTCTGTTGTTCCCAATCGCTTCCACTTTGTTATAATACCACTAACAGTTGACCATGGAATATTTAGTAGTGAGGAAATTTCGCTAATGGACTTATTGCACAGGTGGCAACCTATCACGGTACCATGCTTGAATTCACTGAGCTCCTGAGAGCGACCCATTCTTTCACAAATGTTTGTAGAAGCAGTCCACATGCCTAGGTGCTTGATTTTATACACCTGTGGCCATGGAAGTGATTGGAACACCTGAATTCAGAGGGGTGTCATAAAACTTAATTTCTTTGGTTATTGACAAAAACTACACCCACACATTTATCTCCTGAATAAAATACCGTTGAACCACCCTTCCATCTCGACTCTCATTTCCCTGGCCTTAAGTAGTGTTCTGGTCGACAGTCCAGGTGGAGAGGAGTGATGAATACGACTGGTGGCTTGCAGCCCTGCACCCCAGCTGTTCACTCACTTACATTTTCAGTATTTTCTGACATTTATACACAAAACGATAAATTGATTAATCAAAAAAGAAATAATAAATTGCACATAAATCAACAATGAAGCTAATCTGCAGACTAATTCTTTCATTCATTCTTTTATGTTTCAGTCTAGGAAATGACTTACTACACCAAAATATCTATACACACTTGAAGCATTTTCTGGTAGTTCTCTGCTGGTTGACTTTATGGTGTCATACAAAACATTCCTGTCAACCAACCATAATTTACTGTCAGCCAGTGTGATCCAGTCTCCTGTTCTATCACTGCTCTGTCATAAGCAACACACGGCTCTGACAACTGCAATCTTCAGTGGGGCAATAAGGAGGGATGGTCACAGCAAGTGGATATAAAGTCGACAGCCAACAGTAGCTGATTCAGTGGAGCTGTGACACTGAATCTGTTTACCCACATAGTTGAGCCTGTTGCTCACCTTGACAACACAGTAAATAGTAATCAAGACCCAGTCATGTCAAATTATAGACCCTGAGCTGCAGGGGGTGAGGTGTGATGAAGTGATATGTGAGCAGCAATTTATTTACAAGATTTGCTCTTATGCAGGGTTCTCATTCCTGAGCAGCAGCTTTATTGGAGAGATGTGCACAGCCGAGCACAAGTCTTCACCGGTGACTACCTACCCAACCACTGGGGACAAGTGTCACACCACAGCTCTAAATCTCTGCTGATGCCTCTGACCCTCCACTTCACAGCACAGGCATAAAGACGTATGTGCAGTACACTGCTTCAAACATACACTACACTTGAAATAAAAACCATACATAAAAAGTCGTGATGAGTCATGGGTAAAAGTCATTTAAAAGATGGGGAAAGATACCTCAAAAGGATTCTAGTATTATGTTCTGCTTTTAATACAATATGAAATGGAATGAAAACCCATCTGATCAGACTCCAGTGCCAGATGGATGAGGCCTCTGGGAACGCCTGGCCTCACTCCAAACCGCAGCTCTCACAACTACACAAAAACCTCCCACTTGATTCTTGGAGAGATGAAGGTTTTCTGACGAGTGAAGGGGAAATTGGACTTCTTGACTTCAGAACATCCTAAAAATTGCATTTATGTTACCTGAGTGATGAAAAGGCCCAACGGCCTCTGAGAGGGTTTTTTATCATCTGAGACATTCCCTGAGCACAGAATGGAATTCAGTACTGGACATTTTCCCCGAAACGTCTATCTGAGAGTAAAGTTCCTCTCTATTAAACCAACTTTGATTTATTCAGGAGAACTGGAAAATGAAACGAGCCAACTTTCACCTATTTTTTAAATTCTTTTCATATCTCATCCCTTTTACAACTTTTTTTAGTAGTAATATGGTTCATACAGAAGGTAAATTTAGCTGTGTCTAATTCAGACTTTGACTAAGGACTTTTTTTTATTGTAATTTTTCTATCCCTTAAGTTACTACATTGTTATGAGAGTTGTGATGATAAATATGTAAAAATCTACTTTCATGGTAGGATACTATAGGACAATTACCCAACCCAGCCACAGCATGTTCACCCTGCTGCCATCTGGCCAGCGATACAGAAGTATCTTCTGCCATACCACCGACTTCAGAGCAGCTTCACCTCACCTCATCTACCATGTGTGTTTGTGTGTATATATATATATATATATTAGGGCTGTCAAAAATAGCGCGTTAACGACGTTAATTCGTTGTTTGTCGTTAATTACGTAAATTTTTTTAATGCATTTCACGCATGCGCAGTGTGACAAATTATTCAGGTCAGGAAAGTGGTTGGGACGGGAGCTAGAGGCGAGATGGAGCAAGGTGAGCAAAGTGGGCCTATTGACGGATTCAAATATAAAAAGAATGATGATGGTACAGTTAACAAGTACAAGGTTATTTGCAAGATTTGTAACAAGGAGTTTCAATTTCACCGGAGCTGTTCCAGCTTGAGGTACCATGTCAACGCCAAACATGCGTTTGCTGGGTCATCAGGTTCAGCAAGTGGTTCGCGCCAGACCACGCTGAATTTTCGCGGGCCATTAACAAAATCAACCTCAGATAATTTGACCAACAAAATAGCAAAATGGATTGCAAAGGATTGTAGACCCGTTAGTATTGTAGAAGACTCAGGTTTCATTGATGTTTTGCAAGTGGCGTCTCAAGACTCATCCTATAGGCCACCGTCAAGAGCCACAGTTATGACGAAAATCCACGAGCTCTATCAAAACGAAAAAGAAAAAAGGAAAGAGGTCTTGGCTCAAGTAAATCATATCGCTCTGACAGGAGACCATTGGACATCAGTGAATAACAACAATTACCTCGGAGTAACTGCACATTTCATCAGTGACACGTGGGAAGTCTTTTGCGCTGACTATATTAAAAACTGAGGAGCGTCATTTTGCGGAGGCTTGTAAAGAACAGTTCCTGTCTGTTGCACGTAAGTGGGACATCGAGGGCAAGACGACAACAATTGGGACTGACAGTGCACGCAACATGGTTGCCGCAATTCGACTAACACGCTATGAACACATGAACTGTGTCGCTCACATGGTGCAGAGAAGTGTCACGGTGAGTCTTGCTGAGAGCGGCTTTGTAAATGCTTTGGCCAAGGCTCGCAAAGTTGTCGGTCATTTTAAGCACAGCCCAGCAAATGCTGCGGAGCTTCAAGCACAACAAGTCAGCCTGGGAAAGAAGCAAGAGCCATTGATCCAGGATGTTCCAACAGGTTGGAATTCGACGCTAGAAATGGTCAAGCGCGTGAGCAGAAATAAAGAGGCTGTCATCGCAGCCCTGGACACTTCTAGAGCCATGCAGGTAAATCAGTCTGTAACTTATCAAATAACATTGCTTTGATTATTTTCTGGAATGAATTAAACCAAGTCAAATATCAATAACTTGTATGTAAATAATAATAATGATAATAATAATGATAATAATAATAATATGTTGATAACCACTGTTCTAATAATAGACTGTCTCTGTGTGCATGTGTGTGTTTGTGTGCGTAGGTATGTAACTGAGCTCCTGGGTGGAGAGGCCTATGTCTCCTGTTCTGTGGTACTAACTTCTCTCTGCCACTGTTGTCTCAAGATGGAAGCCTGTGATGAGGACCCTGCATATGTGATGAGATTGAAGACCAAGTTCAAGGAGGACCTAGCATCCCGTCAAGAACAGCTCAACAATGCATGGCTCCAGATTGCTACAGTTTTGGATCCTCGTTTCAAAGACTTGAAATGCCTGCCCAAGACAGACAGGGAAGCGGTGTGGACCACACTTGAACGGATGCTGCAACAAGAATCACCCAGAAAGTCTTCAAAGACACATGATGATGGGCCACCCAGGAAGAAAATCAGCCTTCTGCAAATGGGCTCAGATTCAGAATCAGAAGATGAAGAGGTCCAACCTGCCATACAGAGGTACAGAGCAGAGCCCACCATTAAATTGGAGGACTGCCCCTTGAGGTGGTGGGCATCTCATTCAGGAGCCCATGAGAAGCTGGCCTCACTAACTCACAAATATCTAGTCACTCCTGCAACCACTGTTCCCTGTGAACGACTTTTCTCAGTTGCAGGTCACATTGTGAACAAGAAAAGATCAGCTTTACTTTCAGAAAATGTGAACAAATTAGTTTGCTTCAGCAACTGGCTGAAAGATGAT